AAAAAAAAAATATATACTATAAAGTTTTCATAAATTTTAGGGAGCCGAAAGTTTGTAATACCTATATAATATAAAAAAAATTAAAAAAATTGGGGGGGCCACGGCCCCTGTTGGTCTTCCCTCCCTCCGCCACTACTTCTTCTTCCCTTTAGTTGTAGTGGTGGCTACATTAGATCTTGGGCATAGTTGAAACATCACTGTGAAATCTCCCATTATGAACTAATTTTTGGAGGAGCAAAAATGTCCTCCTTATATGCTCAATCCCTCCAACACAGAATAAATTGTCATTTTCTTGACTATTTTCAGATCATTTGGAGTGAACACATTTATGGAAACTAGATAAGAAAATCAACTACTAACCTAGAAATTAGACAAGAAAGTCAATCTTGGAAAAATCAACTCATTAACAAATCTAGAAACTTAGAAATCACAATAGCAATTAGCAACTGATTCGACATAAATATAAATAAGAATAAAATCGTGTTGGAGTTGTCACGGCTTCAAAAATATGGGTTGCTAGGAAATATCAAGCTAGAGTAGATTTAGATTAGAATCAACAATCTCACCTACGATAAAGAAGACCTTCACAGTGTCTTTGGTGGCTTAGGGGAAGATGAATCTGACTGCAAAAGCCATTAGTGGTGCCGAATTTGAGTCTCTCTACAAACAAAATTTCACAACATATCCCAATAAGAAGCTTAAGACCTTTGATTGTCACATCTTTACCTCAACAAGTTCGGTTTCAGGAATGCTTTATGTCTCTAATCTTCACATTGCATTTTGCAACGATAAAGGGAAGGCTTAAAGAATCTCTAACTACACGAGTTCAATTGAAAAATAAAAAATTGAAGGCTCGAAGGTTGTATACGGCTCTCCTTGTTTGATTGATTGTGCCTGATATAACATCCTAAATTTTAATCCTTAGATTACTAAAAAATTAAGCAAGTTTAAATTATGATAATTGAGTGAATTGATGCGATGCATGGCCAGAGGGTTTTAATAGGTGTAATTAGTTGTGATTTCAAACCTAATTATGGGTCTAAAGTGAAGTTGATTCACCCGGGCATCGAAAGAATGAGAAAACATGAAGGAAGTGTTTCTATGTCATATGCCACAGCATGCAACACATTAACCATGGTGCATAGATAACAACAAAGAAGGAAGGGCCCCTTTGTACCATGTGTTGTGGCTAACATTTTTTATAAACTGATCGTGGATTGAGACAAAAACTAGAAGGCGAAAAAGAAGGAGCTCACTCTTGCTCTGTTAGGGTTTTCCACATTGGTGGTTTGGAAGTATTTTGGTGCTAGAAAACACCTAAGGTAAGTGTCATATACCTTAATCTTTCTTTCTCTTCCATTTTTATAAGGTTTTTTTTGTTAAGATTTAATAATGGGAGATAATTTTTTGTTCATACAAGTTATAGGTCCGAAGTCATTGACTAAAATAAAGTTAATAAAAGTCATTTAGAGTATTTAAACTTAGTATTAATAGTTTTAAAGGTTGTTGGTTGGTAAATGCCATAAATATCCAAAATAGCATTAATGAGGATTGTTAGAGGGGTTGCAATGCCATTAATGGAGGTTTAATAACTCATTAATAATATTGAAAACTAAAGAGGGTATAAACCCAATGAGTAAGCCCAAAGGTGATAAATAAGGGTGTTGAGTATTTCAGAAGCAAAAAAATGTGAGAGTAGAAATGCGTTTTTGACAATGTTGATGAGTTTAGAATTGATTAATTATAGATTAAGCATCTGGGTATCATATTTGGCTTGGGAATCAAGCTTGAAAGTTAGTTATTAAGGAGTAAACTTTTGATCTCTCAAAGGTTTTAAGTAACTAGAGAACCCTATTTTTGGTAGTTGCTTATTAATTATGTTGTAATGTGAAATATGTTTATTTGCACGTATAATTGTGATTGGTGAATGTATATACATGCTATGAGACATAAGATAGTATATTTGCTTGATTTGAACTAAAGACGTGAAAGTGAATTTGAAATGAATTTTAAGTTACAATAGGGTATTGAAATGAATAGTTAATGATTGGTATGATGAACTTTGATTTGTGATTAAGTGAAATGGGATAAAGATAATTGCATTGAGATTGAAATTGGTAGATATATGTGAAATGTGAAAAGGAGAATGATGCTCACTTGGGTAGCGTATTATCGTAAGCCCAATATATTAACATGGAATAAATGAATTTATGAAATGAGTGAACATCGTACTTACATGATCAGTTAGCAGGAGGAGTGAATAAAATTCATATGGTATTTATGATTGCCTTCCGATGCATGAGAGTATAGCTTTGTCCCATAATTTATCAAGAGATTAGAACCTAGTTATTTCTACCAGTTTATCAAGGATGTTAGTTTAAGGTATACAACACCACCAAAGATTTGAGAGTAAAGGAAATCATGTATGAGTCCTGTAATTTTTTGTCTGGTTACATTTCACAATTGGTAAGTTTGGGTAGTCCAATTATATAGATTAAGCCTTGTTTGATGCTATAGCCTACGGTTTCAATCATAAGAAATAAGGAGGGTATAAGGATGGTTTGATTATACATATATGTTTGTCTGATGTGTCACATGATTGTTTAAGTTTGTGGCAAGTCATAATAATAAATTGAGCTATTGTCACATGTTTGTGTGTCTTGTGGCAATATGCCATATAATTTGAGATGAGAATTGTGAAGATAAGTTAAATCGAGAAATGACTATTTATGTTACATATAATAGAACATATATTTTGAGAAAATCAAATTTATTTATGTATGTCTATTTAATTAATATACAACTGCATAAGGTACGGGTATCATGGTTACTGAGTGGCTAGACTCACCCCTCTCTTTCAATATTTTACAAGCTTTAGCTCTAGTGCAAAAAGGAAAAATGCTCTAGAGACTTAGGAATATGAGCATTCCTATTGTAATACCTCTTTAATTCATTTGTTTTGTGTAATAATTTAAATATTTTTAATTAGAATGTATTTTATTTATACTTACACTACATGGTTATTTATGATATTTGGAATGTACTTTGGGCCTTGAAATGTTGTTTATAATAAATTGTAAATGTTGATAAGTCGAAATACTAGTGCAAATATAATATATTTGTTTTAAACATGCCATGGATGATTTTTGAGGAAATACAATGATAAAATCTCCCCTTTCTGTTTTTGGTATTAAAGGGAGTTAAAGGATGAAAATGTGATATAGTGGTGTATATGTGCATGTGGTTTATTATACTGTTAGTCCTAGGTCCAATGAATATGGTCAGGGTGTTAGGAATGACTTTTGGCACTTGTATAAGGTTTTGGTACCCTTTTGTTAAGAAAGTTGTGAAAATGTATTTGGGTATCCAACTTCTTAGTGTGACTTGATTTAGAAGTGAAACTCATGCCATTAGCTAGCTTATGATATAAGCCTTCCGTAGACACCTAAATCATTCCATTTAGACGTCGAATGGAGAATTGGGGCACATTGAGTCAAGAGCATCGCTGCATTATCATGAGCCACAACACACTGCTTTGTTTTTCAACTTTTAATGTTTTTCAAACTGGTTTGACTCATTTTCATTCTTCTGAAGTATCCTATGCTTCCGTAACATTATTTTACTTTGATTAACAATTTAATAAATAATTTTGATTGATTTTAAACTATGAAAACTTGGGATCCCATTTTCTTAAATTACAAACTTGGTAATCTTTCTTAGGTTAATCCCTTAATTACCTTGAATTTTGGAGTTAATTGTGATTAGATTGGTGAAATCTTTCAACCCATTACTTATATGTTCCATGCTTCTTCCTCATCGATCCCAAAACCTTAGTAGTTACTGCATAACAAGATGAGGTTTGGATTTTGAATGATGGAGAATAATCAAGGCCCGAACCATGGAATGAAGAAAATTGAGATTTGGGTTTTGGTTGTTTTGGGTTTTGGATGGAAGAAGAGTGAAGACACAAGCAAGGGAAAGGGGGGAGCAAGATGGTCAAGGGGATGAACCTATGTGGCTAAAGTTGAAGTGTTTTTCTAGGTAAGGAAGCCAAATCAAAATTTTTCTTAGGCCCATGTCTTGCCATATCACAAAAAAGATAAATAGCCAGTTGATAGAAGAGAATTTTTACTCCATTAAAAAATAGTTCAAAGAAATTTGCCACACTTAAAAATACATGGTGTCCAACATTGTTAGAAAAATAGTATAAGGATAAAGTTAGACTTTAACACAAAATAATTTATAATTATGTTTTTATTCAATCAACAATATATAATCGAAATTATTATATGCATAATATGTTAAAATATTAAATTTTATTATATATCAATATTTTTATAAATAATAAGGTTATTATTAAAAATTTAAGATTAATAATTTTTCTCTCCTCCTTATTTTCTCTTGTTTGGCCAAGCATAGTAGGAAAAAAATTGTATCCATCTACTTTTCTTTTTAATTTTCTCTCTTTTTTATTTTTTCTCATGAGCTAAACACAACATTAAAGTTTTCGTATAAGTCATAGGATTATTAAATGTTATATATGTACGTCTTGATTTACCAACTAAAATACAAAATAAGCAAGAAAATTTATCAACTACAATACATTAACAAAATTGAAATCAATATATGCATAAGTCCAATCTAATTGAAAACATAATTAAAAAATAAAAATGAAAAAATATATATTGATTAAAAATTAAATGATGAAATCAATAATATCATAAATTCATCATATAAAAAAAATAATAAAAAAAAGAACATAAGCAAGAAAGAACCATTCAGTGTTTTCGAATTTTCGTTCAGAAAATGAATTGGACAGGGTGGAAGATAGAGGTGGAATTGATTATATTCAAAATTTTAAATTCAATATTATATCTTGCATATATATTATATTATATGTGAACCATTTTTGTTTTGGCCAAAAAATGCTGTTGGTTGATTTGGAATTTCAGTTCGGCGATCAATCAAACAAACAAATCAAAAATCATTATCAAACGCTGGTCCACACTTTGAATCTCAGGATTTTTTATATGTGAAGGGGAAGGGAAGTTTGCACGATTTTCAGGTGCTTGCAATAATGCTATATATAGCCAAATATGTTTTTGGAGGATAAAAAAAAAACAGAAAAAGAAGAGCAGCAATAATGTGTCATTCCTTCATTCTCTGCATCAACAAGCGAAGCTGCTAGTAGTATCTAGGGTTGCCCCTGTAGTTAAGTCCAATTTCTGCTGTTGCCGACGTCATTCTCATAACTTGCCGACATGAAGCTAACGGTGAAGACTTTGAAAGGAAGGAATTTTGAAATCAGGGTCCATCCCTCCGACACTGTCCGTATTCTCATTCCCGTTTACCACTTTTTCTGTGTTTCCTTTTTGCTGACATTTCTGAGGAAGGAACAATGAACAGAGCTTTCATCTATGGTTTATTCCATTTTTTTTAATTCAATTGACTTATTTGTAAATTTCTGAAAGCGAATTTGTTGAGCTTGAGTATTTCAAATCAGTAGCCTTACCTCTATTTTTGTTGCTTGGGCACTTGGCATCTAATAAATTTTTTTATTTGATTTTGTCCTTCGAAGTTGGAACTGTTTAAAAGGGAAAAAAAAAATCTAAATTCTAACTTGTCTTTACTTTAACTCAGCTTTCATTTGCATTATATGCATCAATTTCCCATTTTTGCATTGGATTATTTCAATAATGTTGTGTGTTAAGTGATTCTGCAACCTTGTTGGCGCTGAAATATGTCAAATAGTTTTGCGAAGTACGAGTTTCTGTTAATTTCTGTTCCCTTGCCTATTTCAGCTTGAATTCGTCATCATTTAATTTTATTATTTATTATTTATAGTTCAACTAAACAAAAGTTTGGATAACACCAGTCTTTGTGTGGTGGCTTATTATTGGAGATGGTACAATATAAAACTTAGTCTATGGTATAAGAAATTTCACTTCTTTGGTCACCGAAGGTCATGGCAGTTAAGAAGAACATTGAAGATGTACAAGGAAAAGATAATTATCCATGTGGGCAGCAATTGCTGATTCACAATGGCAAGGTGTTGAAAGATGAGTCTACAGTAGCAGAGAACAATGTCTCTGAAGATGGATTTATTGTTGTAATGCTTGGCAAGGTATCTTTCCTTTTTCATGAGTTTTTTGCTGGACAATATTGAAATCTTAAGTGGTTTTTGTACTTTGCATTTGGTTTAAATGGATCAATTTATTTCCTTTCTGATACCAGTTTTATTTTGGGAATGAAACTTGTGATGAACAAACAACATTGTGATATCATGATAGCTGATGGTTACCGAAATAGAATGAGAAACTCTATCTCAAAAGTTAATTAAGATAGGAGAATTAACTTACTAATTAATTAAGATGGAAGAATCAATCTACTTAAATATCTTGTGAAGCATTCCATCCTACTTAATGTGAAATTGGGTATCTCAACAGAATCACAGGAAAGCTTCTTTTTGGGGCGATAGTTGGATGAATCAATTTTGTTTGTCCAAATATTCCCCACTCAGTGATTCGTAAATTTTGCATTGACTTCTCCTACAGTCAGCAGATGCCTATTTTTACTCATATGCATCAGTGACTTTGAAGTTTGAGCACACCAAATCCTCATCCTTTGTAATTACCGTCAGGATTTCACTGTAGTTCTACAGTGATTAGAGCACAAGTACTTAAACCATTTCTGCGTGGGCCCAGCAGGGATTAATGTGGCGGTGTGGCCTCCTGCCAATTAATCCTTATATTATTGTTAATATTTTTTTGTGTCATTTGGGTTACCATATGCGGTTTATTTTTTTATTTTTCATATAATAAAAAACATGTAGAATTTACATTAAATAAAGGAGGCCAAAGATCCATGCTAAAAAAATAGTTGAAGAATTTAAAACCTATAGTCATAATAGCATGTGTGGAACATATGATAGAATTAAAAATTTAATTTACATTAATTGCAAAAAAATAGGTATGCAATCCATTGAATTTTTTTAGAATTTTAATTCAAACAAAATAATAATTTTTTAAAAAATTAAACTCATTATAACCTCAATTTCTCTCTATTACCTTCAATATATTTCCGTGCCATGCACAGGTGTAAAATCTAGTTAAAGTGATATCTGAATATGATAAGAGGAAAAATAAATATAAATGAAAAACTAGTGACTGTCTCTCTATGGATCCAATCCAACTTCCTAATTAATGGCGGTTTTATTTAACTGATTCTGTTCACATTTCTCGTTCATGATTCTGTACATTAATGATTTGGGTATGGCGGTGCTGATTTTTTTATTTTTATAATGAAGGATGTTTGATTTTTTATATATAACTAGTGCACCCATCTTTCTTATCTATTCAACTGCACCTATTTGTATTTGAGCTTTTATTTTTAAACAGCAGCAGTAATTATTCTAGGTTGTGCTGTTCAACCTTAGCTCCGCGATAACGTGCTAATTTTTGGTTCCGTATTGTTTGAATTGTATTAGAATTATATGAAGTCATCTACGTTGTAGCTTAGTCATGGATTATTTGACTGGATTTTTTTTTGAAAAAAAAGGAAAATAAGAGAAATTTTACTATAAACATTTTAAAGATGCAGTAACCTGTGCTTTATCATTTGATGAATGACAAGGATAGCTCATGCACTACTGACTGAAATTTTTGCTTTGACTCTTTCTGCACATTGCTGTTTCCATGATTTTATCTTGATGAGTTCTGAAAGCATTAAATCTTGTGATGTATTTTATATAATGTCGTGTTATTTAAATTTGACGAATTGATAAATTCATATCTTTTCTCACTTCTCACATTATGCTCTAGCCTTTTTTTTAATTGGTTTTTTTCTTTTTTCCTTAAACTTAATTTACCATAACATGGCCTTTTACTTGTGTATTTGTAGAATAAAACCTTCAGTTCAGCTGGGGCTTCATCCACTCAGGTCTTCTCTTCGCTCGTGTTATCTTTTTTTCGGTGCTTAAGTTTCTCTTTTATTTCCCCCTCTATTTGTTGAGTGATTTATGAACACGTGTGACAGCCTGCTAGTAATACAACTGCAACTGTGTCTGCGTCAAATTCCAGTCCAGTACCCAATCCACCAGAACAAACTCAGTGAGTTTACTTGAGATTCTTTGATTTAGTTATTTAATTTTATTTATTTATTAGATGGAATTTCGTACTTATTCTTTTTATTTGGTTTTGCAGGGCCGCAAACAACAGAACCTCAGCAGCACATGCCACGTTAACAAAGTATAAGTTGTTCCTATAGAAACAATTATGTTATTGCAATTTGAAAATGTATGGTGATGTTTATCAAATTTTGACCATGGCTTTAGTATTTCATTTTACTTTTTTCTGTCAGCAGAAAAAAGCACTTGCCTTTCCCCATCTTTTATTTGATGTTAACAAAAATCAACTTCAAATTTCTTTTTTATGGAGACAGTTATTCCTAAATTTTTCCAATTAAATGTAAAATGGCATCAAACAGCTTATTTATTATTATTATTTTTTCTTGCACACCTGTTTTCAAACAATGATAACTTAGCTGGAGTCTGCACATTAGTAGCCAATGTGTGTGCGTGTTTAAATGAAGCTGCTTTGATCTTGAGTTTTCTGTTCAACAAATCTTGATATGTAATTTGTAGGTTGCTAAACATTAAACAATGGACGTTTCTACAGCTGAAGTTGATGTGGTGTTAATTCATAGTCTAGTGTTTATGCGCAGTGGCTGAATTGATAAACTCTGTCCCACTTCAGCTTTTGTGTTGGGTAGCATTTGTTGTCTGCCTTTGTGTTGACACCAATTTGGACATGCATCATGCGTACAATTAGTTGTTCTAATTTTGGATTTACATGCCAATCTATTCTGATTAAACATTAACTTTACAGTAAATGAAAATTTTTTCAGTTCCAATTCTAGATATATAATCTTTTTGTTAATTATTCCAAAATTGACTGATTGTACAGTAATATATCAAAAAAGCATATTACTATTGAAAAATACTCATATATATTTAAGCAATCTGAGGGAGGGGTGCAGCCAAGATCTCTACATGCTCAAAAGATATCTAAAACACACACACACACACACTCTAATGCATGCTGTTCATTGTTTCAGTCCATAATTTTGTTGGTGCGTTACTGCTTTGGTTCAGAATTTTGTGCACTAGAGTTTTTCATGTATGCTGGAAAATGGTTCTTTGTCATTTTTGCAGTGTACCTACAGATACTTATGGTGAGGCTGCTTCAAATTTAGTTGCTGGTACTAATCTTGAACAGACTATTCAACAAATTATGGACATGGGTGGTGGCAACTGGGACAGAGAGACAGTTAGTCGTGCTCTTCGGGCAGCTTTTAGTAACCCAGAGCGTGCTGTAGATTACTTGTACTCTGTATGATTAATCTGTTGTACGTCCTTTAAGTCCTTATTTTGTTTAGTGTCTTATGGATTTAAACAACTTCTCTCTGCAGGGAATTCCTGAGGCAACAGCAGTTGCTGAACCAGTTGCTCAGTTTCCAGCGACTCAAACAACCGAAGCGAGTGAGGCTACTGCCAGAGCTGTTCCTGGAGCACCGAACTCATCTCCCTTAAACATGTTTCCTCAGGTAAAACTATAAATTTAGAATAGACAATAAAAAATCTTTATACCTGGTTGTTTGCATATTTTGCTGCCAATGTTTGTGCTTCATGTTGACCTGAAATACATTCAGGAGGCACTTGGAGCTGACGCTGGACTCGGATCTCTTGACTTCCTTAGAGACAATCCCCAGGTGGGCTTTGCTGTTTGTTAACAATACTTTCGCCACATAGATAGATCAATAGTAGTTTTCCTAATGCTAGAAATCATTTTGTTCTGCTTGTGTCTTGTAAGAAAGTTAAAGATGTGTGGAACTTTGTACACGCAATACTTGACACGAGGATCGTTTTTTCATATTGAATATTCTCTTCTGAATTTTCTGAAGTACTGCAAATGACAAATCTTTTGGTGTAGACAATGCGTTGCGTGTACTTTTGGCAACAGGCTTCCTCTCGTCCATCATCTATTATATGCAATGTTGGAAAGAACAAATGAATGGAAGGAAGATCTGGAAAGTTAAAATAAATCCAATGTGGTGTATATTATTTGATTCCCTATGGAAGGAGAAATTGTAAGAGAAAAGAAGTGATTATTTGGCCAAGTGTTCTCCTGTCAGTTACTGTTTTGTGAAGGTTGGAGATGCTGAGGAATAAATTATGATATTTGCTACACTGATAAGCTTGGTAGATGATGAGTTTTACAAAAAATCAGCCTATAATTTGACATTCCTATTGAACTTTTTGATTTGTTTCGATAGTTATTAAGCATTTGGTTCTTTTTCTGTTTTTCAGTTTCAAGCATTGCGGTCGATGGTGCATTCCAATCCGCAAATACTACAGGTTTTTGTTTTCTCGATTATTTATATGATTTTTTTGCTTTTTGTCATTTTGAACTGATCAAGACACTTTCTACTGCAGCCTGTGCTTCAGGAGCTAGGAAAGCAGAATCCCAATCTTTTAAGAATGATTGAAGAACATAATGCTGAGTTTCTCCAATTAATTAACGAACCAGTTGAAGGTTCTGAAGGGTGAGTCTGTTGGTTACTTTGTTGCCATATAGTATACTCTCTCTAGTCCTCAATATAAGGCAAATTTAACCAACTTCACGCCTGTTAAGAAATTATATTCCTATCCTTGAAATTGTTAAAAAAAAAAATACATAACTTTCCAATTTTTCCCTTTCTTGTAATGAATAACCATAATAAATTGTTGTCTATGAATTCAAACAATAATAAATAAACAAGAGGTAAAATTAAAAAATTGAAAAAAATTAATTATTCTAATGTTGCCTTGTATTAAAGACAAAAAAAAAAAAAAAGCTTTCAAAATTTTCCTCATATTAAGGACCGGAGGGAGTATGCTGTGGTTAACTTTATAGCCCACTCTTGACTGCATCGTCATGTTTCCGTTGTCGAAGTCTCTGCTGTGTACTTAACATGAAAGTAATGTTTCCAGTTTCCAAATGTCAGCTGGATATGCAATCCCGGATCTAGCAGGATAAATATTGAAACTCAAGACTTCATCCTCTTCTCATATTTTTATGTGTTTCTGAACTGTTAAATTTGAAAAATGTAACCCTCTTCTTTCTATTAGGGACATCTTTGACCAGCCTGAGCTAGACATGCCTCATTCCATCAATGTGACGCCAGCTGAGCAGGAAGCAATTGGAAGGGTATGTCTGCATTTTATCAAGTCTGATGCTTTCTCTTTTCTTTTCCATTTACTTGCCTAAACACCCCTTTAATCTTCACATGTTCTGATTGATTTTGTAGCTTGAGGCTATGGGATTTGATAGAGCCTCAGTTATAGAAGCATTTTTGGCATGTGACCGGGATGAACAGTTGGCAGCCAACTATTTGTTGGAGAATGCTGGAGATTTTGACGATTGAATTATAGTTTGTTTTGCCTTGGCTTTTTATTTTTGGGGAGGGAGAGAGATTTCTGAAGGCAGGGTTTGGGTTGGGATCGGCATATTCAAGTCATTGAAACAAAAATGTCTGTTACAATGGATTGTAGGATATAATTTTTATGGAAGGGGTTCTAACCAACCATTAGTCATGTAAGGTCCAATTGTAAGGTGATCACTTTTTCTACCATTGCATCTGTCATAAAATGTAAATTACTATTACCAACTCAAGTTGGCATGAGTGGCTGAGCGCTGGAGTCTTTTGTTATTTAACCAAATATTTGAGGGTTTGAATCTTTACCTTTATATATGTAACAATTTAAAACCTTATTTGAGTTTTAGTTGGATATAATTGATTTTAAAAATAATTTATTAATATGATTAATTTTGATTATAATTAATTATGTTAGCATGCTATCTGTTTTAATATTGCTTTTTTAAATTAATTTTAACAAAATTTAAGATACTTAGATGATTTAGTCAGAATTAATTTTAACTATATAAATTATTATAAAGGAAATTATTTTTTAAAATTAAATTATTAATAAAATTGTATATAATATTAAATTTGTTAAACTTTAAGAAGTAAAATATATTAGTTAACTTATATGTGTGATTAGTTATAGAAATTTAAATTATATTAATATTGACAATTTTATTCTTGTAAATAAATAATTCAATATATCCAAGTTCAAATAACTTTAATAAAAGAGAAAGATATATTCCCTCCGTTAAAAAATGTAAAGCATTTTTAATTGAATTTTACCCCTAATAAAGTAATTATTTACTTTTCAACTAACCCTATTTTTTCATATTTACTCCTATTAAACGTCTTATAATAAATATAAAGTCATTATTAATAGGGACACTTTTGAAAAAAAAACAATGATTACACTTTAAAAGATTAAAAATGTCTTACATTTTTTAACTTTCAACTCCTTAAAAAATGTCTTACATTTTTTTAACAGAGGAAGTAATTCTTATACTACACATCAACTTTACAATAATTAATTTATGAAGATGTGTGGGTGATTTAGTTAAAATCAATTTTAAACATTCAAATTATCATAAAGGACATTATTTTTTAAAATGTAAATATTGATAAAATTATATATAATATTTTTAAATTTGTTGAACTCTATTTAATAAATAAAATAGAAAAAAATATAATTTTAAATCACTATACTTCATTCAAGTATTGTTATAGATTTTTAAATTTTTTTATATTATTTTAAGCTCTTACACTTTTAATTTTTGATATTCTAAACTTCTTTATAAGCAGTGTTATAAGGATCTAGAATATTAAAAAAAATAAAAATATAGGGATTTAAAATAGTGAAAAAAACATGTTAACTTAATTTTAATGATAATAATAATATAAATTTCGTGAATTTATTAAATAAATAATACGTGCAAAATAAAAAGCTGATGCAGGGAGCTAACGTTGAAGCTCGAAGAATATCTAAAATTTGTTGGAGGGGTACGCTTGGGTCATGATGGGCCACTCTCCTCAAATTATTGCAAATCGTAGGTCTGGCACAAATAATCAATTATATGAAAATGGGGGTGTTTGGGTGATTTTTATTAAAACCATGATTTTGTTTTATATAATCAATTTTGACGCTTATCCAAACAGGCACTTAATTGAGTTAGATCAACTCTTTACTCTCGACATTCCGGGGAGCTAAATTTTGCTATCGCCAAGCCTACTTCTTGTACTAAAAAAAAAAAAAAAAGACAAATACTTAATTTGTTTTTCCTCCTTTTTCTTTTCTACTCTTTATTTGGATAGAGGGAAAGCATTTCCACTCGAGGACCTTTCGCTATTTCTAATTTTTAACTCATTTTGATTTTTCTGAGTGTACACATCTTTAGTGAAAATCACATATAAGAACTCGACATTGTAAATTTACGTTTAAAAAAATCCTTGAAATAATTCACAAGGTCCAAAGATGTCGTATATTGTCATTGGCATGAAGAAATTAACAACCAGTTTTCCACTAACATCATAATATCACATATAGATTTAGAATTACGAGGAATTTGAAGGATTATTATAAATTTATATTCAAGTTTTGAAGTTCTTTTTCTTATGATGTTCCAAACTCTTTGCATTGGAAAATTATAACAAACGTTTTCTTAAATTATAATAGACTTTATTATTGTTTTTAACTTTTAAACTTTTTACTATTTTAACTCTAACATTAAAAAATATATATAAATTATTCACATAAAGTTTTAAGATTCTTATATATATAGCTGGGGCGAGTCGTCTTTCATGACGAAAATAAAGGTTTCAAGTGACCTGAAAATCTGAATTTTCAAAATATTTTATTATAAATTTTATAAAATAAGGTTCTAATCAAGTTACTGGAACTTAATTATCATTCTTCCATGTATTACTCAAAAATAAATTGTCCTTTCATTTTCATATCCTTTTAAAGTATGTGAAAATTTCGGCACCATCACATTTTTTTTGCCAAACAAAAAAAAAAACAAGAAGAAGAAGAAATCAAATGCATTTGAATATTTCAACTTCAAATTATTCAAAAGAAAACAAAAAAACTAAAACTAAAATACTTCAAATGTTTGACCATCTCTTAATCCACCAGATTTAATTCAGACTTTAGCTTCGGCTTTGAATTTGGATTTTGGACAAATGGAATGTATGAACTAACTAGAAATAAATTAACAACACTTAAAATTAAAAAATATAATTGAGAAAATCTTAATTAAAATTATTTGAACGTTTATTTTAAAACTAGATGATAATCGAGAACAATACTTGATATTTTTTGCTTAAAAAATTATGTAAAACTTTCTTTTATTTTATTTTTTATCAATAACATTCGCTTTTCTATATAATGTAATGCTTTGAAAAATAAAATTAATCAATTGTCTTATATATTGAATTAAAAACATAGTCATAAACAAAAAGTTACTTGTTGGCCAATAAAATAAAAAAAGCTAAATTATTTCATAATCTTTTTTTTTAAAAGAATAGTTTGAGTTTTAAAACACAATAGTATTTGACATAAGTGAGCCAAATTTAAATTTAACGTGGATGGAAAGAAACTTGATATCTCTAAAACATAGTTATGGGCTTAAATCTTATGAATAAAAAAAAAAGTACTTGAATTAAAAATAATAATACCACATATAATATAATTATAAAAAAAATATTTTATGTAAGACTATTATTACTAATAACAGTCTTATGGATACCTCAAAGATATTATTGATATATTTATTTAATGTGACTTTATGTCATAGAATTTAAACTTGAGACTTATGATAAGTTGATTTATTTTTTTTCCATTTGAACCAAGTGCCCATTTTAAAAATGAATGATAAATATATAAAATAAAACTTCTTTTCTTTTTGAGTTAAAACTTACCGTGTGTGTTTGGTTTTTGTTTTTGATATGTCAAATTTTCGTTTATAAAAAATCAGCATAGCTAATAAACTGAGTGTGTTTAGATTAAATTTATTTATGTTAAGTTTGGATATATATATATATATATATTTGAATTTGAGTTATATCCAAATCCTATATCAATTCTTTTGTAATTTAAAACTTTATCGAAAGCCTTGTTATTTCAAATTTTTATGGAAGCCTTTTTCTTCATTCACGGTTGTCCTTTGACTTTGTTGCTTTCTCAACTTCAACATAGTTGACTAGAATTGGATGGTCGGTGTAGGTCGGGATTGGACCACCAGTCACAACCAAGATCGGGTTGTTGGTGTTAATTAGATTTAGGAATTTTAAATTTCAATTCACTTCCAATTAGCCTCTTTTGCCACCTAATGCTGGTTCGCCACCACCATCATCATTCGATGCCAGTCCACTGTCATCATCTAATGTCGATCCATCGCCACTGCCTGGTGATGGTTTGTCATATCCAATTGGTGTTGGTTTGTTGTCACTGTTGTTACCAACCAAGACTAATTTATGATCACCTTCTTTGATCCATTCACCTTCGTCGTCTAGCTCCAAAGACTACTGTTAATAAGAAATGGTTTGGTGTCATCATCTAAGTCCAATTCATAGCCCTTGGACTGCTATCATCGTCCCGTGCTAATCTGTAGGCGATATTCTCAACTGGGCCACCAACGTCAACCGAGACTAGGCTATTGTTGATGATCAAGACTAGATCACTAACGTTGTCCAAGTTTAGACACCCAGAGTGGACCAAAATAGGGCTACCACTCTTGATCAGGACCAGACCACCAACTTTAACTAGGATTTGATTGTTGATGTTGTTCAAGTTGCCTTTAAATTTAAACATAAAATTTAAAATTTGAAATTTTTTTAAGATCCAAACAAAGAATTTTAATATGATAATTTGAAATTTCTCATATTATTTAAATAAAGAATTTAAAATCTATAAATTTTAAATATGAGATTTTAAATTTAAATTTTCAATCCAAACCCACTCATCCAAATATAACTTGAAATTTTCATAAAATGAAGCTTGCAAATTAAAATTAGGGTAAAAATTAATTCCTGTAATTTAATTTATATTTAGATACTTTTTCTTAAAAAGTCAGTTTAATGTGATTAATGGTTAGATATTTTTTAACGTAATTTTAATAAATAAACACAAAAACCATAAGCCAAAAGGATCGGCTTCTATCCTATTAGTTTTTAGCCAAAAATAATTTTTATTTTTTTTTTACAAACATGATTTTTTTTTTTTGGACATAATCGACTTTCAGAACCCAAACCGTAGTTTGAACTACGCAAATCTCAGTTTAGTTTAAACAAAACATAGACTAAAAATTGTTTGGGAAAGTCACTTTGACATGCTTTTATTATTTTCAAAACATGATTTTATTATTCAAAATGAAAAATTCTTACATGGAAATTGTGCACCACATCATCCAAGTTTTGTTTAGTGTAAATAAGATGTCTGTAAATATAAATTAATTTTGTCATTAATAATAATAAAGAGAGAGAATAGAAGAAATTAAATAGACGTTATATTCAAAAAATAATAACAAAAAATATTTTATTTAATTAAATTGATATAATTTTATTAAATAAAATATGAAATGGTACATTATGTTCATGCAAAAACTTTTCTATTTAAAAGTAACAGAAGATTATTCAAAACCGAAAAGTAACTTTAAAGAGTACTTCATATTAGATGTTGGCAAATGAACTTTCAAAAAAACTATAAATAAATATACTTTTTAGAGTAAAAAAAAATTATCCAAACAACTTCTTTAAAATGTGGTTTTCCAAAAGCATTTTTAACTTTCCGAAATTCATAACTAAACATATCCAACTATATTTTATGCACATTAAAAAAAATTAAACGGAGAGTTTTAACTAAGAATTATAGATGTGATTTAATTATTAATGGGTTCTAAATTTTTTTTTGAAACTTTAGTTTAATTTAGGATGACTAAAGTGAAAATAATTTAAACAGTAAAAAAATTAAAGTAACATTCACTTATTAATTTTGTCTGAGATGCAAAATCATTAATTGTTAATTTTTTACTTTATTTATTAATTTACTAATATGAGTTGTAAGTTACTGATATATCAATAATCATACAAAACTTGAACATTAGTTGTTCAATCAATTTTGTCAAACAAGCAACAACATCATTTATTAATTTACTAACTTTAATTGTTAATTTATTAATAATTTAAAATTAATTATAAATTACTAACAGATCTTATAATTTACAACTAATGTTAGTAAATTAATAAGTAAAGTTAGTAAATAAATAATTGATGTTACTGCTTGTCTGACAAACTGATTGAACAACTGATATTCAAGTAATGTTCAAGTCTTGTGCAATTATTAATAGATTAAATTATATAATTTATAACTCATATTAGTAAATTAATAAGTAAAAAATTAATAACTAATGAATCTATATTTCAAACAAAATTAACAAATGAAAAATAGTTTAATTTTTTTATCATTGAACTTATTTTTATTTTAATTCTCTTGAATTGAATTAAAGTTTTAGATATTTTTTAAAACGGTTAACAATTAATTCACATTTCTAATCTTTAGATGAAATTTTTCAAAAGTTAAAATCATTCAAATAAACGCCTTAGGTAGCAGCCAACAGCTCATAGGCCAGTTGGCTCTTGCACTCTTTTGCACACGGCATTTTATGCTTAGATAATGTGTAGATATATAGACCCACACACTATATATATATATATATATATATATATATTTATATATTTATGGTAATATTCCATTTTGTATCTTTTTCTATATGTGCTTGCGGTAAGCGCGTGGACTCTCCCTCTTTTTATTCCAAGCGAGACACACGGCTAGTTACATACCCTCCCAAATCCGACCTTCTGACGACCCCCTTTCTCTGATATTCCTTCCACTGTAAGTCTTTTTTGCATTCTTCTCTGTTTTCAGATCTGAGCTTTTCAGTCCTGTTTTTTCATATTTCCTGTCAATTCTCCGTTTGGATCTTGCCTTTGTTTCTCTGGCTTCTTCGTTTTGGCCGATATTATGTGGATTTGGGGGTTCTAGTTTGTTTATCCACTCTTCTAATATGGGTAAGATTTTGTTTCGGGTGGGTTTGGTGTGTTTCTGAGATTATATTTTTAATATGCGTTGGTAATTGTGGCGAAATCTTGTAGAAAATAATCACATCTTTAGACCCGTTTTAGGTGTAACGTCAAATTTTGCTTATTCTGCGGATTATTTGCGTCTAGCTTTGGTTTTTCCCACATTTATATCATAATTACGGTAACCTCATTTTGATAGACAGTGACTATGGCTGGCCTTGCTTGCATATACTTAAGATGGGAGGCCTTGATGTATCCTGATGGTTTCATGTTTTTATAAAAATCTGTTTGAAATTATATAATGAGATCATGAGTGCCAAATCCTTTATGTTCTCCGTTAAATGTCTAGTCTAGTTGTTTTCATGGCTTGGTACATGTAATTGCTTACAATAGTAGAATTCAAACAGGATAATTTGCGAAAGATTATATGATATTTCTATATGTCCATGAAAATGTCTAGATTTTGAGCAATCTTAAGGGAAGCTTTTCTATTGATAATGGTTGTTGAACGAACTGGAGTTTGAAATCTCGTTTCTCATCTTGGATCCAAATGGAACAAGGTTCCCTTTGCTTGCCTCTCCTTTCATCGTCAATTTATCTGAAGGATTGTCCTCGTTATCTTTAGGAAAGTCGTCATTCATAGGGTTCTTCCCCTTTGATTCGTTGGATTTTACTACATTCCATTGTGGTTAAAGGCATTATATGATGATTGGTAGTTTGCTAAGGCAGGGTTATTCTTGGTCAAGGTCTAGCCCAAGAATGACTGTGAGTTCAGTAAATATGTTATTCATGGTCAAGTATGAACTGGGAGTTGGTTGTGGTCTTCCCTTTTTTTTTTTTCCTAAGTGATGGAGGATTTTTAAGCTGTCCTTGTAGATCTTGGAAATTATATTAGTTCTAGGCTTATAGCTTGTTGTTGGTCTGACTGTCACATTTTGATATTTGCTTGGTGGGCTTGAATTGAATATAAATTTAATTGAAATTCTGAAAAAGTTGTGTAACACTAGTTTTGCAACTTGTTATATCTGCACAACCTGTATTCTGAAAAGTTGAACCCTGCTGCTGTATTCGCCTTGATAATGCATATAGCATTCTGTTTTTCTTTATTGAATGTTAACATTTCCATGCAGGTCCTGCATCTACTATCCATCCATGATTTTTAGAGTTTGCTAATTCTCTTACTCCAAGTGCTGCATATCCAATCTGAAACTCCATTGTGCTGTTTTAGTCATAATTGTGTGTCCTTCATGATTGCAAGCTTTGATTGTTATAATTCACCTATTATCCTTTAAATATGAGTATGGAACCACTCTTTTACTAGTGTTTTGATTTGATGTACAGTTTCCGGTGGGCTGAGGAAGGTTGGCGCAGAAGGCGGCATGGTTCTTGATACCATTTTGTCTTCTCCTCACAGGAGGTCACCGTCCTTCAGGAGGCAATTTCAAAGGGATGAGTTAGGAAGCTGGTCAGCGCTGGTCCAGAGGCATCGTTACCTCTTAACAGCTCTTGCTCTACTAACTTTCCTCTGTACTGTTTACCTCTACTTCGCGGTCACTTTGGGCGCCGGCGGCTCCTGCTCCGGTCTGACTGGTGTTCAGAAGGCTTCATGCCGTATGGAACTTGCCAAGACATCTATAGCCAAGGGTAAACTGAAAATTCTTTGACATTTTAATGATGATATATGGTGAATTGGTTATTCATTTTTGAAGTTTAGGTGATATGGAAAATGAAATATCGCCATCAGCCTACAGTATTGTGGTGAGATATATATATATATATATATATATGTACAATTCTTATATAATTTAAGAGAGGTAATGCAGTTACAGTAGTTCTGGTGTGTATATATTTACACACACACACCCCCACCTTTTCTCCCTATATATGTATGAAATGTATGACAAATCAAAGTGTTTACAGCTCCTCAACAGTGAGGCTTGGTTTCCAAATTCAGGTCACGCACATGACCCACCGGTCTAGTTCTTTGTTAGTTTTATTAATCCCCGATTTAGAGTTCATGGGTTACATGCTGTGAGTGCATTTCATGTTGGACACAAGCTGATGTTCAAAATTCCACAAGTATTATAAGACATTTTTAATAATACGTTTGTTAATTGTCTTTAAAATTGTACTCCCTTTCCATGTTCTTTTGTTTAATAGGTTATCTCAATTAGAAAATCTTATTAATCATATCCTCTAATTAAGAGTATATTTAGAAAAACTTTATTAATTATATTTTAAAAGATTAAAAAATGTTTTATATTTTGTAACGTGGTAATTTGAAAAAAATTTCTTATAATATTAAACGGAGGGAATATAATACTACAATATTTTAAAAATTGGATTGGGTGTTAGATTAGAAAGATTAGCTGGCCTTAGTTTTTATGGTCTAAGCAATAGTTGAATTGATGAAATAATAATTAAATAAAAATAATATTATATATATAAAAGAAATAAATTAACAATATATCTAGTTATTAATAAAATTATATTACCATAAATCCACAGTATTATGTATTATAATTTTATAACTTGTTAAATATAAATAAATTTTAGTTAAATTATGAATGCGTATACTCAAAAGTTTGTGCATTTATACATATTGATGCCAATATCTTCCTAAAATAATGAACTCAAAGCATAATGTGCATGGTCCAAAAATGAAGTTGGCAAGAATGATCTCAAATAATAATATAATGTTAATGGTTCAAAAATGAAGTTAGTTGTCAGTAGGGGTTTACTTTTTGAATTTTTATGGTTTTTAAAATTTTTTAAGCTTTTCTTATGTTATATTCAGAACCATTTAGTTTTTTTAAAAATTGCTTCAGTTTTTTATTTAATTCCAGATTTCGATTCAATTACGGCTCAATTCCAATCTAACTTGATTCAACCATAAAAATAATTTTTTAGTTTAAACCAAACTGTTAGCGGTTTTGGTTGAAGTTCTAACCGATCCGGTCTAGTTCTTAAAACAATGTAATACTATATGAGTATTATTGGCATATGCTTCGGAATTGAGGCCTTGAGGGGTATATTCTCCTTACTCAGGGGTAAGCAATGTCGTAATCAAATAAAGCAAGCAAAATGAAGACAGAGCACATGCAGAACATTGTACAGATACAGACGAGTAGGAAAAGAAAAGGGAGCTGTCCAACTTATAATTATAACGTACGGTTGCGTTTAAATTATCGTTGGGTAAGACAGTTTGGATAGAATTAATTTTTATGATTTTGGGTATACTTGATTTAATCAAAACACAGAACTAGCATGTGGAAGCTGCTTATGAGATAATGTGATTGAGGGTCTTATGGTTAATTTAATCAAAATATAAGTGTTTGGTTGAGGTCTTGAGGATCTCCTAATTGATTTAAATCGAAGTATGGCTGTTTGAATAAATTTGCAGAAAAATCACATTTTGAGTTTTTCATAATTGACTTTATGGACTATCCCAACACGCAGTACCGCACCATCATGGTTAGTTGATGTCAAAGCCCATGGCCGACCCTTGAATTTCTGCTTTTACTTAAAAAGAAAAAGATATTAATGGGATTAAGTATGGTAGAAGAGGTTAGTTCTTCTTGAAGTTTGAATATCCATTTGAGGTGTTTACCTTCACTGCCCATTAGTGCCTTCAACATGATTGCCTTGGGATACCCATGGGTAACAAAAAGAAAAAAAAAATTATATATTATACCCAAAATGAAAAAGACAAAATAAATTTACATTTCTGTTTTTTTTTTTTTAGTACAAGAGGCAAGCATAAAGCTTGAGGAGATTACAAAATGAAGCTGGCAATTGGAGCTAACTCTGACTGGTCAATCTGAAAAATTTAGAGCCAAACCTAAAAGATATTAATTTTTAATATTCAGGCCTATTTGAGCCTGCCAAGAATAAAAAATTATATAAAATATGATAAATATTTATTAATTATTTAAGTCTTATTTCATTTCATACTAAAATATTATATATTTAAGTATATTACTATAGTTCTTTTAAAAAATTATATTTTTATTATTTTTTATCAATAAAATATCTCAAAATAATATTTAAAATATATTTTAATATTGATTTTTATATTTTAAGACCCAATTTTTTTAAAAAAAAATTTTAAATCCTATACATCATTTGCATATCTAAAATAAAATAAGAAAACTAATTTTAAAGTAAAATAATTTTAAAAATAAAATTCGGGTTGGTATATATTTCCAACTCTATTACTAGATAAACATAATAAATAGAATAATATTTTTAAATAATTGTTTTATTATCATTCACGTTAGACTTGGTTAAAAATTAAGAATAAACTTGAGTAAAAATCTCTTGTAGGTAAGGGTTAAACAATATAAAAAAATTTTAAAAAATAATTTTTTTAAAAAAATAGTATTTTAGTCATAATTAAATGAATTTTTTTTATATAATATAATGATGGCTATTTTTCTCATATTTCTAAAAATAAATTTAATTTATCCAAAAGTTATTAAAAACTATGAACTAATCTAGATAATAATTTTAAATTAGTAGTCTAATCATGATTGAATTGAGGTTAACTTAATCATGATTCAAATAATATAATTTAATTAAAATATATAAAATATTTATATATAACCATGATAAGAGCAATATTTAAATAACTAAGGCATTAATTTACAAGTAAAGGAAACATTTATGAATTAATTATACATAATACAACAAAATAATAATAGAGCTACTTAAGTATAAAGTTGATAAGTTATTATTTTTTATTTATTCTTTTGAAGTTAAAATAATATTTTATACTTTATAGAATTATTTAAAATTTAAAATTAGTTAAAAATAAAGAAAAATATTTTTAAACAGTTTTCGGTATTTAGGCCGCTCGAATAAGCCCGAAAGTGTTAGGGTTAGCTTTGATTATGTAGGCTTTTTAGAAAGAGTAAAATACTTTAAGTCTAATCCGAATAAGTTTGGTCTAAATTGAGTCCGACCTGAATAAGTTTAGCCAACTTAAATTATTGACTCTAACAAATCAATTCACAAAATAAAACAAAACAACTTAGTAATGAGGCTCTAAATCTCTTTGTAGTAGATCCCTGGGATTGTCCAAAGCAGAATTCATTAGCACCACCTCGTGGCCCACATCATTGGCATTTTTTGCAAGGAAATCAGCCACAACAATACTTTCCTTGTATGCATGGAGTAAGTTGACCTCCCAATCATAATAAATCAAGGATCTAGTTTCATCTAATAACTCTCTGAATCTATAATCTACTCTTCCATCCCTCATTAAGAGGTTAATGGCTTCAAGAGAATTAGAAAAAAGCTTAACTTTGGTTAAATTCAGATGTTTACACAGAGTCAATCCTATCTTGATAACTTGAAGTTCTGCAGTGACAACATTCATCAATCCAAGTGCTTTTTGAAATCCCATATCCACTTGTTGTTCAAGTGTCGAATTACACCACCAAAGTAGGCTTGTTGATTGTGATGTATTGAGGCATCTAGCCCAAGTTAGGGGGCTTCCACTTCATCTGAGCAATTGAACTTGAAAAATTTTATGTCTGAAGAAACCATTGGTAGTATCTTTCGAAAGTTGGGCAATACACGCACGAACAATTTCCTTCGTCGAGTAAGAGATGTTCTCACACATTCTGTGACATCTTGTCGTCCAAAGCTGCCAACACACCAAACCAAAGATCTTTGTCCACAGCCATTGACTAAACTGGCTGGAACCCAGATTATTACAAGAATTCCAAGATAGCCACACCTGCAAATCACAAGAAAAAAAACTTTGCAATTTGTTAGGTTTAATAAAAACTCTCCATGCCTCAACAAGCTTTAGGACAATCTCGAAGGATACGAAGTGTTTGTTCCTTTCTCTAACACTCAAACAGGCATAGATTATTATCTATTAGACCTCACTCAACTCTTAGGGAATTTGTTGGCAATCTTTCATGAGACACTTGCCACAAAAACATTTTCATTTTTTCAGGAAACGACCATCTCCAGAATCTAGCCCACCTAGAGTTAAACCAGTCTCTCTCTAATCCCAAAATGAAATCATAAGCCAATTTAATAGAGAACTTGCCATCTGGGGATCCAATCCATTGAACGCTATTTGCACCATTAAGGTTTGGTATTATCTGGATTCCTTGAAGAAAGCTTTCCTAAAATGTTACAATGGTCTTCCATATGTAAGATGAATTTCTTTCTTTTTTTTTTTTATGATATCCAAAGAGCCTTCCCTTGCACATTTATACTTTGTTTTTAGGCATTGGACCCAGAGGCAATCATACTTAGTAAGGATATTCCAGCACAATTTAAACATAAAGGCTTTGTTTTGCGTGTAAAGATCCTTAACACCAAGCACTCCTCCTTTTTTCTCCTTCTTGATGTTATTCCAAGCTATAAGGTGTAGTTTTCTACAATTATCAAACTGATTGCAAAGGAATTTCCTGCTTAGTTTCTCAACTTCGTTGAGGATACTTTTCAGTATAAGCAAAGACTGCATCACATAACTAAGCAAAGCAGTGATAACCGATTTGATAAGCACACTTCTACTAGCCATGTTGAGAAAATGACTTTTCCAAGACAAGAGTTTTTTCTTAACTCTTTGCACAATAGGCTCAAAAGTAATCTTAGAAGCTCCAGTATGGAGAAAAGGTATAGCAAGTTGTTTTCTATGATTGCTAGTCAAACCCACACCAACTTGATGACTTAGATCCATAGCTCTTGTTAGGTGCACATTCAAGAAACAGCAGAGTTTTGATTTCTTAATGTTAATTTTGTGCCCACAAATACCACAAAAGTCTCCCATGACTTTCTTAGTATGTATTTGGATTAAAAAATCTATAATTAAAGTTAGAAATAAATTGAGGTTAGGAGAAATGTCTATGATATAACGTGATTTATGTTTGGATATCTTTTTTTTAGAAGTCAGGTGGACAAACTAAAATTTGTTTAGATGATTACAAAAATAAACATGAATTTTGTTATATATATTTTTATGTCTAATATGATATTTTTAGAAAAAAATTAAACTTAAAATTACAAGTTTTCAAAAAAGTCAATTACAAGTATAAAATATTTAGTTATGGTAATTTTATGAATATTAATATATTTATATAAGTATAACATTTTGTTCCAACTTATTAGTCAAAAAATATGAAAAAATATAACTTTAGATCCTTGCACTTTATTCAAATTTTGTTATAGATCCCCATATTTTTTTGTGTTTTAAGTCCCTTCACTTTTTATTTTTGATATTCTAGGTCCCTTCATGAGCAATGTTATGGGAACCTAGAACAAAAAAAAAAAGTACAAGGATCTAAAATATTAAAAAAAAGTACAAAGACTAATAACAAAACTTAAGTAAAGTATGAAAATTTAAAGTTATTTTTTTAAAAAAAAATATATTAAACTGAATTATGAATGATGCCATTTTGTTTCAATTTATTATTCATATATGGTAAATGTGATTTGCATTGGGCAGCGTATTTATTATATTATTATGTTTCAATGTGCAATTTTTATCATTTGAAAATTATTTTATTCAATGAATTAATTGTAAAAAAACGAGAAAATGCATGTGGCATGTCAGAAGGGTTTGGAGGACAAAATTATTGTGATGAGAAACAAGAGACATGTGCCAAATATTGGATAAAAGTTGAAAAATGATAGTCAAAAAAGGGGCAAAACACAGTGAAGAGAGAGATGATAAGATGATTAAAAGTGAAGACGCTCATTTTTTGTGAACGCTCGGTAAAAAAGCTATCTTGAGCTTATTTGGATTAGATGCTAACCTCAATTAAAATGAATCAAGCTGAAGTTAGGATATAAAATGTTAAAAAAATTTTGTTTGGATTAACATAATTTTTTAACCTTAATTAATATGTAAACGTGCGTTAACATTGAAACCCACTTATATGGCTTTTATCTCTTGAGTGTTAGCGTTAATGCCTATTGCATTTGATGCTTTCTCTCTCTTGCTTTTTATCTACCGAAGCTGCGCCATTCCTTTGTGCATGCTACTTTTTAGCCATGACCTCCGAAGCTGCTTCAAAACTCACAAATCTGCTTCTTCCTCTAGAACGCTCGCTATACACCTCATTGATCTGCTTCTTCCTTCTGCTAGTCAGGCGACGCCATCTAGCAGCTCATCTTCAAAACTCACATTTTAAATTTTGAACTCATACTCTCATGTAATGGAGAAGTGCAGGGAAATGTCGTGGGAGGTGGCGGAGTCACCATGGTAGTGAGTTTTCTAAGACGTTTGAGCATGAGGTTGAGGTCCATCATGAGTTTTCCTTTTGCGAAGCCTTTATGGAGAATGAAGAAGAAGACACGTATAATGCTCCACGCTCTCTTGGATATTACTGTCAAATTGCTTTTCATATCTATCTATTATTGAATTGCTCTTTGAATTGCCTGCAACTTTATTTTAATTTAGAGAGAGAGATTGAGAGACACGAAGAGATGAATTGATGTATTTATAATAAACTCCTAACAATTATGACAAGCGTAACATATGAATCATATCAATTAAATATTAATTTATTTTAAGTTTTATAATTGAATATTTAAGATATTTTACTTATTACTTGTGATTTTAAATTTAATATTTTTTACTTATTAGTTACTCAAAAAAATATAAACATGCTTATTTAAGATATAAAAATTCATACTTATTTTTGCCATTAAATATCTCAATTGACTTTTGGATTAAACCATCCAAACGAATTTCAATTTATTTAACTAGTTTTTGAAAAAAAAATAGTATTCAAATATAAATTACATTATATCAATTGATTTTTTTTCTAATTTCAATTTACTAACCTCAGTTGAATCCTAACCTCAGTTGCAATTTTTTTTAATCCAAACACACACCTCATCTAGCTTTGCTGTAAATGCTCGTTCTCCAAAAACGCTCATTCAATTTTTCTGTTAATCCAAACAAGATTTCATGAGGTTTTAACATCTTAACTTAGGTTTAAACCACGCCAACCTTAGTTGAAAGATAATCCAAACTTACCCTTAATGGTATCCATTTGGTCACTGGAAGCTTTAACAAATAACAAGTAGTCATCGGTAAAAAAAGGTGTGAGATAGAAGGACCCCTCCCTGGAACTTTAAAAGGCCTCCACCTCTTAGCTCTACACTCACGTTCAATGGCATTACTAAGTCTTTCCATGCAAAGGACTCAAGGGATCATCCTATATATTTACATTTCTAGACAAAAGAAGACGTGGGAGAAGATTTTTGTCTACAATTATTTATTCTTTTCACCATCTCAATTGCATGTTATTTTGCATCCAAAATAATATGTATGCAAAAAAAAAAAAAGTACTTTTAAAAAGGAAGAAGTTTAGTATTTAATTTATATTCCTCAAGTGTCTTTGCCAATTAAATTAAAATATGTGAGTAAACCTAAAAATAAGTCAAGACATTAAAAGTATCTAAACTGCTTTTAAAAGCAAACATATTATCTTAAGGAGGCAAAGCAGCAATAACATTATTGTTGTCCAAGAAGTGATCCACTTTGAAAAATAAAAGAAGGAAGAAGAGCTAGTTGGCTATGAAAGTGGTTTTAAAAAAGCGCATGATCAACTTGAGTGGTCTTTCATTTTGAATACTTTTTGACCGAAGTTAGAATTGGCAAAGAACTACGCAAGGTTATTATGGCTTGCATCACAAGCTCTACAATGAAGATCTTATGGAATGGTGAACCTTATATCTCTTTCAAACCATTTAGAGGTATTTGGCAGGGAGATCGTATTTCCCTCTATATCTTTACTTTATGTATGAAGAAACTTAATCATGTTATCAAAGATGAAATTCAAAGGGGATTTTGGAATTGATTATACTGAACAAAGATTTCCTAAAGATATCTCATTTGTTTTTTTGTAAATGACCTTGTCTTATATGGGGAAGCCTCCACTGATCAAGTTGATGTTATGAGAGATTGTTTGGATAAATTTTGTAGCTTATGGATAGAAAATGAATAAAGGAAAAACAAAAATTTCTTTCTCTAGAAATGTGTACTATTCAAGAATGTTGGTTTTAAGCCAAAGATTGGAAGTTGGCCTTACTAAGGATCTAGGCAAAAATGTGCACTATATGATGTTTGCACCCATTGTTGAGAAAACTCAAAAGCATATTGCGAGTTGGAAAGGTAGCCTTCTATCTTTTTCTGGGAGAACTACTCTTCTTAAGTCAATTCTCAAAGCCATTCCTAGTTACCATATGCAAATTATGCTTCTCCAAAAAAAAAAAATTGTTTGATGATATTGAAAAACTGAGTAGAGCTTTTTCATGGGGTAATGCTGGAGATGATAAGAAAGTGCATCTTGTGTCATGGAGTGATGTTGTCAGAAATAAGACTCTTGAGAGCTTGGGAATTAAAGATTTGAGGAAACAAAATGTTGTTTTCTT